TACTAAAGCTCCTATTGTGCTGAATCAAGTACTCTACAGTTTCTCTCTCCCTTGCTCAAGTATATTTTAAAAATACTATGAGGGAAAAAAAAGATGGACCACTTTTAATTCCTTGATCTCTCTTCTAATCCATCATGACAACACAGAACAAAAAGCAATTCAGAGATAATATTTATAATAATTTAGAATTGGTATTTCTTTCACAGAATACAGTACAACCAATGGATCAGATCCTTGGTCCTTATTTTCTTCTGTAATGTGTCATCGAAAAATGAATGATAGAATGTTTGGTAGCATGAAACTGGTTGTGGGACTTGGAAGGGAAGGATTTCAGCTATAATTTCCAGTACAAATGCTGGGAATTCAGTTTTAAAATGTAATGCCTCCAAAGTCATATTTTCTGTCTGAGATTATAAAGTCAGGATAAAGGACTATAATAATCTAGAATGCCTCCACATTGGGACACAATAGTGCAATGTAGCCACTGCTCTTCCTTTGTAGTTTTAAAATGTATTTATCATTGTGCTTTCACACTGAACTTCGCACTGAGTTACTAATCCTGCAATCTTGCAATCTGTATCAGGTGAATAGTGGAAATGAGAAGTACATGACAGGTAAGCAGTTTCAGTTATTCATATCCATCCATTTTAACAGAGCCAGGCAGATGTGAGTTCTTAAATATATTTTAAATATATTATTAACAGCAAATTTGAGTAAATGCATGAAGAGAAATAAAAATATCACAAGTAAACAACAAAGTTAATAGTAATGTAGAATAAATACATAATAATAATACTCTGCCAATGAAGAAAATGCAAACAAGAAGGAATGGTTTCTTAATACCATAAAGGTTTTTTCTGTGTGATGTAAAATAAGGTAATAAGGAATTTCTTAGCCATTCTACCCTTTAAAGACTTTTATTTCCAAATGTGTTGTAATCCACCCACCCCACTTCATAGAGAATGTTAATTAATTCAGGCTAATTCATAAAACTATAGAGGAATGTGAAAATATAAGAAAAGCTTTGGGAGGAAAGTTATCTTAATTCTCAGGAATATATGACACTTTTACATTAAGAGAGGAAAGCTCTTGTAGCCCAATCCTAACTTGGAAATCCTCAGCACACACTAACAGAAAGCTAAAGTAAGTTTTACCTCAAGGTAAAAAAAAAAAAAAGGTCCTTGGCAGACAATGGTCAGAATACAAGATCTATCCAATCCAAAATCTTTGTTTGTGCCTAAGAGGGAAGTTTTGAGGAAGAATTTCAAAGGCACTTTGTAAAACATGCATATCAAGGTCTTTACAGATACACACAGATTTATTGAGTTTGGAAGTATTCTTTTTATACCTTTACAACAAGGTAGACATTCCCATATTTTACTATTCTCAGAAGACAAGCTTGTATCTTGTAGATTAATGTTTAGGGAAGCAGATAATCGAGCCACCAATATTATAGAATAGATACCTATAGATCAATGAAGACATTTAGAAAATAGATTCAGCACATAACCATGTGATATACAATGAACTCAAAATTGTCAGTCAGTTTTTCGTATTAGAAACTTGAGAACAAATATTTTGATTATTTTCCAAGCAGATTCTTTTTCCTGACTCACCCGCGCAATCCATTAAAATGGTTTTACAGGATACTAGTCATGGAAAGCCCCTTGAACTGAAGTTACTTTCTGCTCAATTGTGTCCAATTGTAGAAATCCTTACAGTTCCCCAACTGCATGAAAATCATCATCATGCACACTACTACAGAGCAGCTTCACTGAATGAACAGTGACAAAGGGATAGTATGTCCAGCACCATCTCCAATCAGTTATATCCTCCTTCTCCATTATACACTTTTGCCATTCTTTTCCCCTTAAAAATTGGGGAAAATTTTTTTTAATCTGAATTTGGGAAAGTGGAGAACTATCAAGCAAAAGACAAATGAACAGATCAAATACTGGGATCAGACATTTTCCTCCAGTCTAAAGAATGACGATGAGGAACTCGCTTTGCCTTATCCTTCGGAGAATAGAAGAAATGCAGAGCTACACCATATGTAGAAATGACCAATGGAGGCCGCCCTTTTGTTATAACTTATAAATGCCACTGCTTCCTCTTTAAAGGCAGACACCCACAGCTGGAAACTCCTCCAAGTTAATGCACCCCCTCCTCCCCAGAAGAGCAGCCACATGAGAGGTTCATTAAATGTTTCTAGCTGGCAGAAAGCCAGAACCCGAGCTTGTTTGTTCTTCATTCCAATAAACAGTCTGTCATGAACTCCAAGAGCAAAATCACAAGGAAAGCTTCAATTTTCAGAAGAAAAATCATATACAAAAATATAAACCCAGCAGTTTACTCCTTACATTTTTTTTAAAAAAAGGCCACAGTCAACTGGCAGGCTGATTTGATTCTCCTAGGAGGCCCTCCGAATCCCAGGACAATTATAATACCTTATCCATAAACATGATTACATCATAACTTAGGACATGGAATAGTAACAACACAGTGTTTGTTTCACATGCAATGTTGTAGCAAAGTGAGATTTAATAAAATCTTGGCTGTATCACAGCCCCTACACCCTTCCCAAGGCTCAGCTAAAAAGCAAAATAGCAATAATGGCATTATCCTATACAGACATTTGTGAGCATTTAGCTGCAACGTAGCAAAAATTAACCTCAAGCGCACAGAGCAAACATGAATGTGAAATTCCCTCCGAGAAATCGGGTATGGCCAAGCTGCAGCCTGGGAGCAGGATGTTGGTTCCATGAGCTATCCTGCCAGCCCCCATTTCAGTCAATGGGCAAGGGGGGAGGGAGAGGGAGAGGTGAAATCCTGGAAAAGTGTGAAAGGAAGTTGGGTGGGGGAAGGGGGAGAAGCCCATGCTGTGCCTGGTGCTTTAAATGTTTGGCCTGGCTTTGGAGGGAGAACACGTGACTTTCTGCTTGAGGAAGCAGCAGCAGCTCTGGCAGCTTCCAGCGGGAGATGGAGGAGGAGGACAAGGAGGTAGTAGTGGCAGTGGGGGTGGGGGAAGGGAAACAGGAAAGGAAAGGACTTGTTTAAAGCAGGGATTGCTGCAAGCTAAGGGAATAGATTCAGCCAGACAACAGGTAGGGGGCAATGGCGGAATCAAAGAGGTGAGCTACTCAAATATCCAGCATCAGAGCAGGCAGGCAGTTCTGGCTTTCTGGGAGGAAGGAATGGTGGTGCTGCTCTATACACATTGAAGGAATTTACCTAGATCTGGAGCAAGGAACATGAGGCACTGAGACAGACAGCTTGGGAAATACTACCTGGATGTTTCACAGCTGGCAGAATCTCAGCTTGGAGCTGAATGCTTTGCAAGAATTGCAGGAATTCTCACAGAGAGAAACCGTGTCTCTGTCAAACTACAGTAGAGGACATCATCCCTCATACCTGGAGACCTGACATATATGTCAGGACTTGCCTGTTGAAAAGAGCCTATCCATGTATGTACTCTGCGTAGTTCATTTATTCCAAGCAGAGAAGCATGGAATCGCCATGTTTCTAAGGAAGACTAATACCTGAATTGCATTTCCAAATTTTGGAACATATCTCATCCTAAATTTAATCTTCTTTACATTTATATGTCGTCTAGGAAACACAAGTAGGATGGTTTTACATTTTACAGCTAAGGTCATTCAAAGACTAGTACTATTTATTATTAATTTTATTTGCCACCTATCTCACTGTGGGAGGTTTAAAATACTGTAGGCAGCTTAAAATTGTGGGGCAGTGGAAGAAACACATAATGCCAATATTCAACTGTCTTGGATTGTCTCAGAAAGCTAAGCAATGCTAGCCGTGGTTGGCACTTGGATGGGAAATGACCATGAAATCGCAAGGCTGCTCAATTGAGAAGACAACAACAGAATGCTTCCACACTGTTGCCAAGCAAACAATCAAGACATGTCCATAAAGTCACTAGGAATCAAGCTTGACTGAAGAGAAATGCCGACTTTTTTTTTTAACCTAACAGTATAGCATTTCCTTCTAAGTTTCATGTGAAAGAGCCGAGTACATTATAATCTACTCAGCTCTGATGAATCTGTATCTATGCCAACCCTGTTTAAAAGCTATGCAGGTTCCATTTCCTAAAGGTGGAAGATGCCTGTCCATCCTCCACATTAACAGACTTTATCATAATCTCTCCCCTCCCAGGCCACCAAGGCCAACTTAGCAATGAAAAGAGCTATCCCTTCACACCGCTCCTCCATCAGGGAGTGAAGCTTTGCCCTGACACAGCAGAGCAAATAACCACATCCTTGAGAATTGGCATGCCTTCAATAACAGGCATTTATAATCCTAAACAGAAGAAATGTTTCAGATTTCAATGTCCATCTTGAAGGAGAGGCCAGAAAACCAACTTGACACAGCTGCATCCTTCTGCTATGAACACAAAATACTCCTGGCCAATGCTCTGCCCATGCAGAGAAGCCCTAGAGAATAGGACCCACTGAGGAGAGGTCTCCCCTTACCTATTTTTGTAAGATAGATATAGCTTGCCCATAACCTCTTCAGTCTACCTGCAGCATACTCCGAGTATCCCAGACCCCCTTTCCTTCTCCCGGAGATTGCCGTCCATCAAAACAGTAACTTTCACGAATATTCCCCTCCCAGACGGGAACCCCTCAGGAACCCCAGACTTCTTTCCCAACCGATACCCAGAGTTAACCGCAAGCAAAACGATCAATAGCATAGGCACCGGGCGCCCCAGCCCCAAACCGATACCAGGTTGCCCTCCTGCTGCCAGAAAACCGAATTCCCGCGCTCATGCTTGTAAAGGAAACCTGAATTCCCAATGCCATTTTCTTTCTCCCTTGTCTTTTTCCTGGAAGAAGAAAGATTGCTCCGAGGTTGGTTTTCCCACCGCCTGCTCCCAACTGCAGAGGGGCCCGGGCAGGGGCAGGAGGAAGGAGAGTCCCTGGACTCGTAAAAAGGATGTACGCCCCAGCCCTTCTCTTTTTCAGCGCGCCTAGACTCACCTGGGCATGCACAGCCTACTGACATCTTCACATGCCCGGCCTGGCGCAGCAAAGGTGCGACGTGCCCGCTCGGCGGGTCCTGGCATCCGCCGCTCTGAGAGAGACCCCAATCGCTGGGCAAGGCCGACCCCGATTGTGGGGCCTCCCCGCCGGGAAGCACAGCAACCGCAGTAAGTGGGGCAGCCCAAAGCTGCTTCTCCCTCCGCTCGTCGGCGAGTCCAGGGCTGGGCTGCGTTGGCCTGGCGGTGCGCGAGACGACCCTGCGCTCCCACCGACTCGGAATCCGATCGCTGGGCTGATTAATATGCTAATTGCGCGGCGAAGGAAGAGGAGGAGGAGGAGGAGGAGAGGAAGAGGAGAGCGCGAGCTTGTCAAAGTGACCTGAGCTGAGTGGCGCGCCGCGATAGGGAAGGGAAGGGCGAGGAAAGAGGGGGGGGAGGGGCAGCCATGTGACGCAGATGGAGAAAAACACACCAATCTCTGCCACAGTAGCCACCCTAGGCGGGCTCGCGCGAGGAGAGGAAAGGGGAGGGAACGGAAGGGAAGGGAGGGAACGCAAGGCAAGACGCGCGCTTCCGCGTGTGTGTGTGGTGTGTGTGTCTGTGTTGTGTGTGCTAAAAAAAAAGACATGTGCTGACACGTTTGCAGGCAGAGGTACCGTATACGCTTCACTTGTGCGCAGGTTGTTGTTGTTTTTTAAAGGCGCGAATTGTGACCCGCGTAAGTAAAAGAGAGCCAAAAATAAAAATAAACCCTTCTCATTTTCCTTTCACCGAGGCAGCATTTTTTTAAAAATCCAAACCTCCGCTTTAATTAGAACAGTCCTTTCACATTTTCCGACGAGTTCAGACTCTCCCGATCTGTTGGGCTTCATGCGCTTATAGCTGGGTATTTCACTGCCTGGAAAGGACAAACTGAAGGTTCCTCCAGATTGCCTGTAAGTCCTGCTTTCAAAGGATGAGCAGACTTTGGTTTAGTAGGCTCTGCTTTGTTATAAACTATGTAAAATCCTGAGATTCACTAGGTGCAGCCAGGTGCAAAAAGAGAAGCCATACACAGATGCCTTAGGCAAAGGGCACTCCAGAAGTGGTTAAGGCTCACAGTGCTGTTCCACAAAACTGATTCCTCACCATCCTCATGTAGGAACCTACCCCTCTCCTAGAAAAGTGAAAAATATCCTAGGAAATATTAAAAAGGCAGAATATTTCCCCTAAAAAGAGTAGAAACTGAAAGCAGAAACTCACCTCACAGAGGCAGAAACTCAACACCCCCCCTTTGCTAATGGGCATTAAGGCCTAGGCCAGAGTATTCTACATCAGGGGTCCCCAACCACCGGGCCACGGACCGGTACCAGTCCCGGTCCGTGGAACATTTCCTACCGGGGCACCAGTTTGCTGGGCGCCGCCATCTTGTTTGACAAGAAAGTGCTTCCGGGTGAGCTTTTCCGGTTGGAAAGCGGCGTTTGGGTCCTGAAGGAATCCTCGCGCCTTAGTTTCATCGAAAGGGGAGGGGCTTCGAACGAAACTAAGGCGCGAGGATTCTTTCAGCACCCAAGGCAAGGCGAGCCAAGTGACCGCCCCGAAGCCGTCCTGAAGCAAAGCCCATCGACAAAGGTACAAAGGAGGAGTTGAAGGTGGCGGGGAGAAGCAGGGGACAGCTGGCTGGCCAGTCGCTCAGCTCGCCTTGCCTTGTCATGCGTGCTGATGCCGGTACCGGGCCGCGGATCATTTTGTGATGCCGGTACCGGGCCGTGGCACAAAAAAGGTTGGGGGCCACTGTTCTATATAATAAAGGCCTCTACCCATCTCACTACCTGGCCTGGGAAGATTGTATCAGCCAACACTCAGGTGGTCCCATGTGGTCCAGACAAAGTCTACAAAGTTAGTTAAGACCCCCACCCCTGGGAGTCTGACAGCCAATGGAATACATTTCTTGCACAGGAACAGGAAACACTAAGGTGGGGCCCAACCGAGGGTATATAAGGGTCTCTCAGCATCTTGGCCGTCCCTTCTTTTCACCTTGAAGCAAGTGATTGTCGTTTTCACTTTGGAGCTCCAAGACATGTGGTCCTGTCCACCATTAAACCATCTTTCCATACAGCCTCCATGTTTCCAGTGTCTTTTTCCCCACTTGGAACTGAACCCAGAAGGATAATTCTTCCAACACTCACCACTGAGGAGGTGGGGGTTATTGGTTTGTAGGTAAAATGTGTGCAGTGATTAGGAAATATCCAGTCTATTGCAAATTCTGAGATCTGTAGATCCAAATGTCCCTTAAATCTATCATTTAATCAAGATGTATCCTTTTATTTTTGCTACTCAACTGTTAAGTAGTTCTCAGATTCAGGTTAAATTATTTGCAACAAATGAAAAATAGACTGCAAAATAATTGTCCCTGAAGTTTACCACTCAACCTAAATAGCTTTTCCCTCAATTTTTAAGAGAACCCTGCCATTAAGTCATACACACTTAATGGAAGGGTTGTTATCCTCCATTTCCCCTCTATATTGGAATAGCTATAGATCCCAATAGCATTAATCACCAATCACTCTGATTATGTCTGATGAGTGTTATAAGACAGTTCTTAAATCTGTACTCTGCGTATGCTTTGTGTATTCTTCACATTTTTTTCCATCTTTCTGGGTTCTGATTCACATTTTTTTATTGTTCTGTTTTTTTTGCATTCAAATTTTAGCACATCTTCCAGATTTCCTTTGCTGAGATTCAATCTTTCTGAAGAGTAAGATATTTGGTAATTACTACTCTTAAGGAAGTATAGATCATTTTTCTAATGATATCAAAATAGTGATTCCTAACATAGTTTGATTTATTAGTTTATGATTTATTAAGAATATATTATGAATACGTTTAGTTATTTGTTGATTTTCTGTTTTCTACTTATGTATTGACTAATTGTAGGGTGTTTTTATTCATAATATCAGTAGAGGCCTTGTAGAAAGTCTCTTTATAGATGTTTTCTTATACAGAACTATACAGAAGCCTGATGATGGCAGATGAGATTCTGCCGAAACGTTGCTACAACTTTAAAAGCACAACTATAATGACGTGGGAAAATACCCAAACAAAGCTGAATACCATATATCTCTTTATAGATGTTCATAGTTTCAACTTCACATAAAAAATGAATAGATAGGCTTTGATTAATTATTTAGTCCTTCAGGACACTGTAGAAAGTTAGCACCCACCTCTCTCCTAGAAGAATGAAATATTCTAGGAAATATTTAAAAGGCAGAAAATATTTTATTTCCCTGGATGACAAAAGGAGAAATATGTTTTAAAGACAAAGCAGCTTCCTGCAGCTCCCTGGGTGATGGGATTAAGAATGGCCCTCATCTCACCACATGGCCTGGGAAGATTGCATCAGCCAGCATTCAGGTGAAGCCGTGTGGTCCAGACAAAGTCTACAAAGTTAGTTAAGACCCCCGCCCCTGGGAGTCTGACAGTCAATGGGATACATTTCTTACACAGGAACTGGAAACACTAAGGTGTGGCCCAACAGAGGGTGTAAAACCAAGGGATTCTCAGCATCTCTCCCCCTTTTGCCCAGGAACTCCAAGGCATGTGGTCCTGTCCACCATTAAACCATCTTCCCAAACAGCCTCCATGTTTCCAGTGTCCTTTTCCCCACTTGGAACTGAACCCAGAAGGTTATTGCTTCCAACAACACATTTCTTATTTAGCAGCATGTCTGGCAGTTCAGTTGAACCAAAGAGATTGCATATTAATGTATTTCATGTTTCTTAAACAAATAATGGAGAGACATACATATTATATTGTTATTAAAGAGTAATGTTTTCTATTATTCACCACAATTTTGCCAATACACTTTTTTTCAGGTTAATAACTCCCTGGATTATGGAAATCATGAGAAAGAATATGTATCATATTTTGAGAAAAGGATTGGTCATTTAAAAAATCTAATTTGTTTTTTAAAAAAATACCCAACTCTTTAGGTTTCTGTATAAGAGGGGGGGAAATGAGTGCTTTGATATAATATGTCTATTTGACCAATCATTTATCTTTACTTAAAAATAAATCTGCAGATTTGATAAACTAGAGTTAAGGTTAGAATTACACATTCTTTTAAGAATTAGTCTGCAACATAGGATAATTGTATTTTATTTTTCTTTCCTTTAAAGTATTTTGTCAGTTGTATATCACTTTTGCCTTGAATATTCTATTCATTATTAATGAAATGGCTGTAATAATGAAATTATTAAATGGCTGACCAGAACAGATTCTTACATGGATACAGTAATTCCAGAGCTAGCCAAGCACACCCACGCCCCCATCCCAATAAGAAAGAATGAATGACACAATAGGATAATATACTGTGGGAATAATAGCTAAACACAAGTAAAGCATACTTAAGATAACCTGGACATTTTTTCATAGTCTTACAGCTTATCTTGAACCCTGGAAACTCTCTTCTGCATCTCAGTTAGAAAAACCATTCTACATGGTTGTAACCCTTGAAAATGCACAGAGGCAAAGATGATGTCATTAGCTAAAGTCTCATAGTGCCTATGTCTGGTGAAGAAACCAGTTGGGAATTTTCCAACAGTTTTAGCAAAGGACAAAGAAATCACAGAGGAGATGTCATGGGAGGAGTTGCTGTAATAAAAACATAAAAAGGAGGCCCTATAGGGAACACAAGGTTCCTGCTGACTGGAGTCAGATCCTTCAGCAGGAATTGGTGGTATGAAAGAGATTTCCAAGCATGAGCTCATTTGGCAAACCAGATAGAAAAGACTGCTTTACTGTTAAAATCTAGTTTTAAGTTAACAGAATGGGAAAGAGAAGACTAGAAAATACTCTTCCTCAGAAGAAATTTCACATAACTTTGTTCAAAATCTCTTTAGTATATTATTGTTTGGCCAACTAATAAACATTGAAGCCATTCTCCTTTACAAGATAGGATGCTATTTATATTCATTATATATATATATTAATAATGGAAAAATGACCCTCATTATATGGTGCATTTCTATAATGAATTTACCCAGCAGGAAGTACTTAGAGAATATGTAAGTTGAATTGAAAATACAAGAAAAAATGCTACCTCAAGAATAATTTAAAACAAAATATATTCTTTATATATATATGATTCTATTATATATATAATACAATCATATATATATGATTATATTATAGGGGGGCTATTCAGATATAAAAGGAGAGGAAAATTGGAAAACAATGGAAATTAATTATCTTTCATACACACAGTTCCAAATGAAATAAATAATGTTCAAATTATCTGCTTGTGTAGACTCCTGTTTCAGAGTATATATAATATTTATAAAGATGAAGGAAGAATGACACCCACTTTTTGATATAAAGAAGCCTCACACTGAGAGCAAAGTCACATGTTTTATAGAAATTCAAGATTAGAAAAACCAACTTCTTAGCAGAAGTCAATATAAGGAA